CTTTCCCTCGTGCGGAGGTCGACCCTCTTCGGGATTTCTGCTTCCATCTCCTTCTCGGGTTGGTACGGCTCCCGGCGCAGCCCTGCAGGTGCTGGCTCCTCCAGGTCTGGATGCTCCAGGGCATAAGCTGCTAGGTGCCTATCAATCAGGGTCAAGGCTTCCCTCCTTACAGCTGCCCTTTCTCTCCTCCTGCCGGCTCTCCCCTCTGGCGATGGAGCCCTCTCTGATGAAGGAAGTGGGGCCTCCTCTCTCCGCAATCTCTCCTCTGCCTAACGAGCGCTCCCTTGAGAATCCCCGAGTCTCAAACCCATTGCTGGCGCCTGTGGGGGTGTGCCCTCTCCAACCTCTATCACTTCCTTCCTTGCACGTCTCCCCATGTCGCCTAGCCTGCTCTCTTGATGAGTACCCTGCGCCTCCTCTCGTGGCACCTCCTCTCGTGGTACCTCCTCACGTGGCACCTCCTCTCGTGGCACCTCCTCTTGTGGTACCTCCTCTCGTGGCACCCCTTCTACTTGCTCTTCATGCTTCTCATCCTGAGGCGACGCTCTCCACTGAGAGATATCCAGATGCGTCTCTAACTCTCTCAACGACCCTTCAGACACTGGCGGCTCCTTCCGTGTGTATGCTGGTGACCTCCTCAATCCACCCTAAGTAAAACGATGGAACTCCACTGGTCCCAACCCACACTCAGGGTATGCCCCTCGCTCTTCAACCTCTGGCTCCCGCTCCGACTCCTCCTCTCTCCTAGCTAGGGCCTTCCGTCCTCCCCGAGACGGTCTCACCTCCTTGGGCTCAGGGTCCCTCGACCTCTGACTCCTCTGACGTCTCTCGACTCTGGGGTGGGGGGACTCTGGCCGTCGAAAGGCCTCTCTTAGATGTGCCCTGCAGCTTTCCCAGTCCCGGGCCATGTCTCTGATTTGGCTAGCCAGCGGCCTTTCCGCCTTCCTGGTCCAGAGTAGTAGCGTCCTCGCCCACTCATCTCTCGGTATACCCTGCCCCTGCATGAACCACTCGAAAGAAGGGATGAAGTCTGCCACGTTTCCGATCTCTAGACGGATCGGCCTGCCATCTGGTCCCACAGGCGAGGGTCGCAGTTCCTGCATCCTCCACTCCACCTCTGATCTCGTCGTCGCCTCTCTATGGATCCGCGCGACGGGCTCCTCGAATCTGCCGACTCCCCTCAGTCCCTCGATTGCTTGGGCCACGGTCCAGCCCATACGCCTCGCATGATCCCAAAAGTTGTCCAGGAATAGCTCGRTGTCCCYATCATCGTATACTGGAGTACTCTCTTGATGGCGMGGCCCATGTCGCTCATATCCTCCTGATGCTCCCAACGGCCTCCGAGGCRGCCGTGTCCCCCTCCCTCYTCTTGGCATGRCTGTCTTCGTAAAGTYARACCTGCACAACAGGCGAAGGAGACAACARGCACACATYGGGGTAAGCAAAACAGGTGATAATCAAGCAARCTTAGACCAGACCACACTCACRCAGCATACATCCTACCTAGCCTACACACCCTGCTACTTCTATTCTAAAGGCAGTCAGGTCGTCTCTCTTACCTCTTCTCTCGCCACGAATTTCTTCAGACGCGTTCCAGATACCCAATCCTTCCACTCAGTCCCATTTAGCTCCTCTATCTGATACGCTCCGAAGTCTCCGACCCGTACGATCCGGTAGGGACCTAACCACCTCTTATCGAGTTTCCTGGACCATTGCTTCTCCAGTGATGAATCGTAGAGAATCACGACATCTCCAACTGCCAAGGGTACCTTCATCACCCGCGCAGATTGATCCCATCGAGCCTTATCGTCCATACGACTTCTCGTCACCTGGTCAGACGCCTCCTGGATCCTTTCTTCTATTGCTCCTATCTGCCGCGCTCGAATATCGAGCAATTCTTCAAATGACAAGTTAACTTCCAGATCGTGGCGCGTCCATGACTTAAGAAAACTCTCGATAGGGAAGGTGGCGTGCCTTCCATATCACAATGTCGCCGGTGCGTGCTTGGTGGATCTTTTTATTGTAATGTTCTCGACAAAGAACGCCGCCCTTAGGTATCTTGGTCATTGATTAGGCCTACCTTCGGTCCACTTAGCCAAGAGACTCGTAATGGTACTATGTCCTCTCTCTACGAGAGCATTTGCCTGGGGGTGCACGGCCGTGGTGTAGTTGGCTGCTACACCGTACCTTGATAACAATTCTTGCACCTCCTGGCAGGTAAACTCCGATCTCCTGTAACGCAGGTAATATTCCTCGATGCAGCTCACTAAGACTAAGCCCGGTCTTGGTGCGAATAGCACGCCCGTCTACGAACCCAGACAGGTTATCGCGCGCATCGAAGATATAGTTATAGCCCTGATCCCCAAGCGGCATAAAAAGCAGATCGAGATGCACTACGGCCCCTACCTCTCGCTCTAACCTTGGACGCAGCGGCTCTCCCTGCCTTAAACGGGATCTCTCCTGGCAGGGCACGCAGGATCGACATAATTTCCCGACCATGTCCATCATTCCATCCCAGTAATACAACTCACTTATCTTGGCATACGTGGCTTGTACCCCTCGATGCCCTCCTGCAATGCCATCGTGTAGTGCTGCTACGACGTCGATCTGACGATTCCTACCGCAGACGACCCTCCTGGGATTCCCCACTTCTCTTCTCACAAAAAGGTGACCGTCTCGCACTAAGTAGCGCTGCAGCATCCTCTGATCCTTACCGCTTGCATCCCTTAGCCGCATTTCACATGACAGAAGAAGCCCCAGTTCTAGGTAGATCCCGTCGTACTCCTCTGCACGAAAAGCCTCCTTAATCTCTCCTTCCTCGAACTCGTCGTCCTGGCTCTCGGGCACTTCGTCCACATTTCCTGTCGAGTTCAACGAGCCTGACTGATCGAGGCCTTCCTGCTATAGCGTGTTGACGAGGAGATACATTCCTCCCATCAGGTCCTCATGCCGTTCTACCTGGCCAGGTCCTTCCTCAATCGTTCTTATGTCCTCCACCAGGCTATGCGAGCTGGCCAGCGCTAGCTCCATCATCCACTGAACATCCTTACCGCCCCTAGGATCTTCTTCCTCAAAGGGCTTAAGGACTAGCTCATTCCCCCTTTCATACCCCTTTGGCGCTTGCCAGATAGGATAGCCTACACAGCTGGGCACTCGCGGCGACCATTTGTTGATATGAAGACGAACATCTTCTTCCTGATCCAGAAATTCATCAACTGGGGGCGTATTCTCCACCGCCTCCCCTTACTGCTTATCCGAGTTGATCTGACTCAGCCCGTCCGCCCGGTTCTTACTACCAGGAATCTGTTCCAATTCGAAATTGAACATCCAGATGTACGTCAGCCATCTGGCAATCGTCGGATCCGATGGAACGTAATTCCTTAGAGAGTAGGCCAGGGCGGTCGGATTCACTCTCAAAATAAACCTCCTGTCGAAGACATAGTTCCGGAAGATTTGCAGACAGTGGAGGACAGCAAGGGTCTCCCTCTTGAACTGAGAGTAGTTCCTCTCCGTCGTACAGAGAGTCCGACTCTCAAATCGCAAGGGTCTTTCCTTTCCTTCCATGTCTGCCTGAATTAGAACTCCCCCTAAGGCAGTCGGTCCCTCATCCGTTTCGACAATGAAGGGTCGTGTCTCTGTGGCGTCATAATCTGGCGCTCCTGACACCAACCCTCCTTCTAGAAATTCCTCCTTCATTTTTGCGACCACCTCTTCTTGTTCCTCACCCCATACCCATTCCTGATCCTGACGGACTAACTTTTTCAGGTGTTTAGTCTTAGCGGCAAAGTTCTTGACGAAGGCCCTAAAAAATCCACACGTACCAAGAAAGCTCCTGACATCAGTTATTGAGTGGAACGGAACTGACCACTAAGTAATTTTGTCCGTCTTCTTTACATCCGGCCTTCGACCCTTCTCATTGCAGATGATCCCCAATATAGTCGCTTCCCTCATGCAGTGTCTGGATTTGGCCCGGCTTGCCGTGAGGTTATGCTCTTCGAGCAGGCTCAGGACCTTTTCGAGGTCCTGGATGTGTTTCCAGACAAAGCGCCTTACCCCTGGTGAGACTTCCTCGCTCTCTTTCATCGTCGGCCCCTTCACTGCCAAATCGTCAATGTATGGTTGTTTGATATGAGGGCTGACTGACTGCATGGCCCGAATCATGGCCCGTTGGACCATTGCTACTGCGTTGGTCCACCCTTGTGCGGCCACGTTCATGTGGACTAATCCTCGCGGCGTGTGCATAGCCGTCACCGGCCTATCCGGCGGGTAGACTGGGAACTGATTGTATCCTGAGTAAAGGTCTATAAGCGAAATTATAGGCCTTCCAGCACATGATTCCGACAGCGCGTCTGCATTCGGCAGTCCTCCAGCATCTCGCACGGTCACTGCATTCAATCTTTGCAAATCCTGCACCCACCGCAGCGTCCCGTTAGGCTTAATAAAGCAGAACCACGGGGACGAATACGGTCCACTTGAATAGTCGGCGACGTGGGTACGTATCTTGCCGTCGAGATAATTCACCACCTTCCTTTCCTCGTCAGGATTGGGATATCGCGCCCCTCTCATGTTCCAAGGCTCGTGTGGCAC